ACATGTTAATCATGGCACAGATTGTAACATAGCACACATTTACCCAATTATGACACAATAAAATGGCAAAACAGCCACAAAATATTCCACATTTAATGTATTGTATTTTAAATTCAATGTATGGCATTCATGTCAGACCAAGGGCCGGCCATGCTCCATCACAAAGATCAGCTGATCATCAGGATGTAGTACAGGGAAGCCAGGGTCCCAGACCCCCTGTCTGATCACTAGAAGTGCAGCTCTGGGTTCTGCATCCTGTCCCCTGCCCCATGCCATTGTAGCACCTCTTTGAAGATGTTGGTATCAAAGAGGGGGAGGAATTACTCAAGCTAATTTATGAGTTGTAATAGGAGACATTTATAAAGGCTGAATATTAGTAAACATCTCATGAGAGAAATATCCATTAGGATATGGACTAATCTCCTCGAGAATGCTGCTTGTGACATTTTAAACTAGACAAGGCAAAAACTATTTGATGTACAATATCCTTCAGAGGCAAAGAGATGGACTGTATGTTTTGTTAGATGTATTCCATCTCTAACTTTTATGATTCTGTGTCTTTCCAACAGAAGGGTTTGATGGAAGGATCGCAAAGTAATGAAAAGATCATTATAGCCTTTGAAAACAATATAATGGTGCTTGGAAAACAAAGATTTTTGGTTGGAAGTATGAGACTGATTTGTGTATGATCTATTATTCCTGTTAGTAAGTGGATTGAATAACGATCCTGTGTACATATTTGAATGCCAAATTAGCATTTTTAAAAATGAACAGTTCAAGTCTCTGAGTCATTAGGGGATTGGGGCAGGGAGGGGTTGTGGGGGTGGTTGATTAGTTTAAATTATGTCCATGATATCCTCTGAGATTAGGCCAGTTTAGGCTGCACACACTGAAAGCATGTTAGCAAGTCTGACATCTAAGCTTAGAACTAATATGCAACAGAGGATAAAGGGTGAACCATGGTTGATGGCATGGTTTGAAGTACACGGACTGCAATTCAGGCAAAATTGGTTTTGCCAGAACTGGAAAAGCTACTTGCTTCCCAGAGACATGGGAAAGCAAGAGCTATGTCATGCCATTGTCAAAGACTGCTGCATCACATAAGTTATTTAACTAAAGGGGCAAACTTTTTGCATCATCAAAAAATGAATTAGGAAGATTTGATGTTCTGTTAATTGATTTTTTGTATTCTGTTATAGCAATTGATGCAATTCCTGATCATATTTATTTCCATTCTTTCTACTGCTTTGTCCAGTGCAAAAAAAAAAGAAGAAAAGATAATTTAGCATTGTTGAACATTGTCGGTTGACAGCATTTGAAACTCCAGATATGGTGATGAATTGAACCCGATCTCCTTTACTATGATGTATTAATGTTATTTTGATCCATGCTCTTTCAGAATTACATTGATCAGATTAGGTTAAGTAGCTTGCCATCTTAATTGGTTTACTTGCCTGTATTAATCCCCTTTACTATGTGTCAGAAAAAGAAATGTAAATCAATTTGGTGATATGTTGAATTTGTTGTTTAATACATTAAAGATTAGTGCCATATTGGGCAGTTGAAATATATCTTTCCTGATTGCCAAACTCAACTACTTAAACTTATTTTTATGACCTTTTGAGAAACACGTTTACATGACTGCAGAATCTTCATATCTATGCTAAATTTTTGCTCAGCTAGACAGATTTTAGGAGATGAGATACTTTGGAAGAGGTTATATAGCAGGTTCTTTCCCTTCCGAAAAATATAAGATATCCTACAGGCATGCATTATATATTCTCCACTCTTTACTTTTCATTGGGGGGAGATTTTTATTTCCATCTTTTTGTCAAATTAATATGCATGTGCCACTATATGGGAGAACAGCTGAAGAGTAGTCTTAGCAATGTAATCTCAGCTCTTGCTGTGGTAACATGCTTTTAGCATGCTCAAAGACCATTTCTCCTGACTAATATGCATTACTGAAGCAGTCTTTTCTTCCTTTAATAAATGCATCTCCTTAAATAGGCTCATAAACTATACAGGAGACATTAACCCTTTTGAAATCCCTCCTTGACTGCTTCATTAGAAACAAGCATTTTTACTGGTTTATCTTCCTTAGGAAGTGCTACTAACAGGCTCCTATCAGAATAGTGTTGTTGCTGTCCTTTCTTTTAGTATCGTCACACCAGGAAGCATTATAACTCAGTAGTCTTTTTATCAGACTATTAACACACTACTAAGTCAATGGGCTCTAAAGAAAGACACGTATTTGGGATTGAGGCTAGCCTGGTGATTTTGCCTGGTAGGTATAACCTAGTTATACCCTAGGTTCTTCAGTGCTCAGACTTTCTTCTTAAGTATTTGTGCTGTACCTAGTACAATAGAGCCTCATTTTAATTGGGCTGTTACTGGAACATAGATAAATAATAATGATAATAAATGTGATTTTTTTTTTCACCAAAGATGTTGAAGCCCAGATATGGGCAGGTCTAGGATTTTGAAAATGGGAGTGTAGATGGTGTGATGCATTATCACATGTAACACATCACCCACTTTTCTGCAGTTAAAGAGAAACTAGAATTTTTATTAATATGCTAGGGGTCTAGCATTATATTACTCGGTTTAAAATCAAAGCAAAACCAAATTTAACTTTATTGGAATGTGCATTGATTCATTAGATTATATATTCAGTCTAAAAAACACAACAAAATAGCCAAAAAATAGTCAAAATAATCAAAAGAGATTGTTTCATTGGTCTTGTAGTTAAATATACATCTCTTATTCAGACTCGTGAAACAAAACTTTGTCTTCCTGAGCATCTTGACAGTGCCTCCATTACTTCCCTGTCAGTCATTTCCACACCTGAGTTAATATAACTACACCTGAGTTAAGGTTTTTAGCTAGAGCTAAAAACAAACTGCAGGACTTTGAAATAGAAGAGAGTCATTACCAGGAATGGCTAACAGACAGCAAAATTGCAGAAGAAAGGATAGGTTGAATAGTCGAATATCAAGACCATTAAAAAGGAGAGAGGGTTTTTTTAATACCTGTGGACTGAAAATACCAGGAATCAGGTAGATTTTAATGAACCATGAAGTCAAATGGCTACCTCAATGCTGCCTAAATAGAAATGCCACTGCCTATCATAGGCAGTTGTTTTCAAGTTTGATTGGAGCAAGAATCAAAGGGGTGGGGGAGCAACTGCACCACTGCAAATGCAC